GGAAACAGGTTATTTCTGTATCAAATCAGAATGAGGATTAGTCATTGTGTATTAATAAATAAATAATGTAATTAGGACAAATTACTTTGTGAATCACTGTTGTTAGGGATCCCTTCTGGAGGAGTAGGGAGAGGTTTTTTTTAAAGGTGTTCTATGAGCATTTTTTTCTCAAATTTGCAGCAATATATGGTAGAATTATGCAACATTTTACCATTCCTCCTTAAAGCTGCCTTTCCAGGATCTCATTCTGCTTTGCAAAAAATGAACTGGCGGTGAACCATCCTTGAGAATGTCCTTGGAGAGAGTCATTTTGTCATCTTATTTACACTGGGTGGTGAGAAAATGTCGAGGTACAAATTGCTAATGAGATTTGCTCAAGGTTGGCTGGAAAGTCAGTGGCAAAATAGAGAGGAAAACTCATCTCTAATAACTCCCAGCCCCAGCCCAGCCTACTTTTTATTACTTGATGCTGTGCAGAGGCTCGTTGCCTGTGAGCCAAACCAAGTAAGAAGGGTAATTATTCATGGAAAAATATAAAAGGCAAAATTCAACCAGACTAATTGACTTATTCAACAAGGCACAGTGCAGGGAAAGCTGTCTTGGCCAAGTCAGCAATCAGCAAAACTTAATTTCCTCACACTAATGTGGGCCACTTCTAAAGTTTGAAAGAGTGTTAGAAATCCTGGAAACAGTCACACGGAAATTTTGTATTTTTAAGGTATTTTTAAGGCAGTTTCACTGTTCTTTAGCRGGTAAGTTGCCTCAAAGTAAGACCACATCCTGAAATTGGAAAGCAATGCTCTGAGATACAGTCATTATTTCATTTATCAAATTATTTTTATTCACTCAGCTCAGCAGTTCATAGCATTGAAASTGATTTAGAAGATTGTGCTTTCATATTTCTATGTGGAAATATGAGGGGAGCTTTTCCTCAAGCAAAGAAAAGCGTTTCCTCAAGCAAATCACCCATGCAGGCTGAATTTTCTGTGTGATATCCTGATATTTGTTTTTCTAATRTTGGATAACCTTTTAGATAGACATAATTATTTCGATGCACATAGTTTACTGCATCCAAAGAATCCTCCCGTGCTTTTCATTTGTTACAGAATCTAAAAAATGGTAACACTCACCTTTAATSTCCATGGGAGTGTAGCCACTTTCCCCATTTATAGCAAATTTTGATATTTCACCTTTCTCCTCTGAAAAAAAAAAAAAAAAATCATATGAATGTTCATAGCATGATGCCRTGTTAATACATATCAACTGTGGGCAATGCAACCCAGTGTCTGTGTTCCTTGTTTTCAAGTCAAGAGGTGCTGCCAAAGATTCACGAAGAAAAACACTACCCTTGTGCTCTGGTGGGGACTTGGAACACGTGGTACGGAGAGCAAGATCAGGCTGGTAGGAGATAGAAGTACAACCCCGTGTAAATCCATGCAAGTGACCCRTGTGCTTGGCAGGTTTCTCCTTTTCAATCGTCTCTGTTGGCACTCCAGAGCCGTGGAGCCGCTCCTCGGCTGGCTTGTGCTTGCTTTTGTCATGCTGGGTTGGACAGCAGAGCCTTCATTCTTTCAGTTTTGTCTCGTTGTTGATTTATTTCCGTGTTTTGCAGGTTGTTAAAATGAGGGAAATGCTTGTGGAATATAGTCCTGGGGGCAAAATTCCTGAATGTTTTAGGSTAACTCTTGCRAAAGCAGAGTTTCTCCCTCCTTGAGCAGGTTAAAAGCTCTGCTCAGATTTTCAGACTGTCATTGCTGTATGATAATATGGTCTTATGGGTACATTCCTGAATATTTTAGGGTAACTCTTGCAAAAGCAGAGCAAGAGTTATCCTGCTCCTCCCTTCCTTGAGCAGGATAAAAGCTTTGCTCAAGCTTTCGGACTGTCATTGCTGTRTGATAATAAAAATACAGTCCTGTGGGCAGAATTCTTGAATATTGTAAGGTAACTTCTGCAAAAGTAGAGTTTCTCCCTCCTTGAGCAGGATAAAAGCTCTGCTCAGACTGTCATTGGTGTATGATAATGATAATATGGTCTTATGGGTACATTCCTGAATATTTTAGGGTAACTCCTGCAAAAGCAGAGTTTCTCCTTTCTTGAGCAGGATAAAAGCTTTGCTCAAGCTTTTTTGCTGTCATTGCTGTATGATAATGAAAATGCAATCTTGGGGGCAAAATTCCTGAATATTTTAGGGTAACTCTGGAAAAGTAGAGTTTTTCCTTCCTTGAGCAGGATAAAAGCTTTGCTCAGGTTTTCAGACTGTCATTGCTGTATGATAATAAAAATACAGTCCTGTGGGTACATTCCTAAATATTTTAGGGTAACTCCTGCAAAATCAGAGTTTCTCCCTCCTTGAGCAGGATAAAAGCTCTGCTCAGACTGTCATTGGTGTATGATAATGAAAATACAGTCCTGTGGGTACATTCCCAGATATTTTAGGGTAACTCTTGCCAAAGCAGAGTTTCTCCTTCCTTGAGAAGGATAAAAGCTTTGCTCAGGTTTTCAGACTGTCATTGCTGTATGATAATGAAAATGCAAATCATWCCAACCCATCTGCATTGTAAACTTTAACAATAATCGACTTTACTGGGGGAAAGTAAAAATATTTCTGTTCATGTTCATACAAGGATACTGCCTAACTATGAAAACAAACTGGAACTAGACATGACTGAAGAGCTGCTACAGAGGTAACTCCAAAGAGCCCAGTATAGACAGAAAACCTGAAAAATGCCCTGGGAATTGGAAGGAATGGGAATCCACAGCTCCAAATCCGTAGAGGTTCTACTAGAGCTGTGCCAGGATCAGCGCTGTTGCTTCCTAATTAAAAAATTAACTCCTGCACTCATTAATTCCCCCTGCATTGCCAGCATTTTGCAATATTGACACTGAACAAGTGCAAAGAATTAATGGCAGCTAAACCAAACAACATCTGAGAAGTTGAAGGGGAATTGGGGAACGAGGACAGCTGAAATGGGAATTTCTTAGGCCAGTCACAGTGGCTGCTTTTGGAACAGATGAACACGGGCTGGGGCTGTCCCTGCACCCACAGGAAATGTTCTTGCAGCACTGTGATAAAGCAGATTGTGGGGTTGGACTTGTTCAGTGGGAGAAAATAATTTTTATTAATCTGCRAGGTGAAATTATTGCCTGGCTGCACTAAGTGCTTGTAAATACATCTTGCTGTGATTTATCCAAGGGGTTTGTTCTGATTTATTAAAGAGGGAATGGTTTAAAAAAATAAAGATACTAACATAGATCCATGTCCTGAAATTGGTTTTATGGGGGAAATCTTAGCAAATGTTGCGTTTTCTTCTGCTTTTATTAATGTTGGGCTCAGAAATAACATTTGCATCATTTTTCATGTCCTACAGAAAGTGTCTTGTTTTTGTGCTGGAGTAATTTACTGAACTGCAAAGTCTGCCCCTCTACTGCTGTTAGCTGAATTTGGTATAAAACACGTTTTTGGAACTAAGTCATTCTCTTAAACCGAATCTTAATTTCAATAACAGTCATGTCAAGTCATCACATCTTACTAGCATGGCAAAAAAAAATCCTTTCAGAAATTTCCCTATTATCCTCACAGTAAATGGCAAAATTTTCCAAGGGAACCCTTTTCAAAAAACAGATGATTCCATTATCCTTAAAATATTCCAATGTGTAGTGCTTTCATGAATGAAAATCTATTTTCAAATCTGCTGCCTGGTTCCTATTTTTGTATAATTCCATAGTGGGAAGAGCATTTTATAGTGTGATTTTTCCATAAGATTTACCACTGGTCTGGGGCATCCCTGAAAAAAATTTCTTTTTCTCTGTTTCAGTTCATTTGTGGAGATATGAGGGAGGTTATCCAGCTCTCAATGAGGTCATGAGCAAACTTCGTCAAAATAAGGTAAAAAATACTGATTTTRTTACTCAGAAAAGAGCAAAGAACAGGCAGAGAAAAAAAAAAAAGCAGATTTACATACCAAAGAGTTTCATCCTTTCCTGTGCAGCCTCAGAAACCTCTTTGAGAAAGGATTTGTTGTCAAATTCAGAAGTCCTGAAATTTAATACCTGAACATTTCCTGTGTAAATCCATGGAATTCTCAGCTGCACCAGGGAGAATTCAGATTCCTTTAAGGATTTCACTGTCCCAAACCTTTATAACATAAAAAAAATTAAATCTAAGCCACAAAGTGCTGTCCTGCTGTTTGTTGTTGAAGAATTTGACCCATTTCCCACCTTCTTTTTTAGGAATTCACAGAATTCCGTAAGGAAAGGGGTAACATGCTCCTCTCCCGTAAGAACCAGTTACTGCTGGAGTTCAGTTTCTGGAATGAACCTGTTCCCAGAGATGGCCCTAATATTTATGAACTGAGATCCTATCAACTCAGAGTAAGTTTAGKTTTTTTTATTATTATTATTATTTAAACTCTGTGCTGTCCTAAAACCTTCAGAGGGTGTTTATGGCAAACAGAGCTTGTCTGAAAAATCTGCTTTTTATCARAGCTGATCTCTGAGTCATTGCTGCTCTCCAGGTGTGGGGTCCTGATGCCTGCAGGGCTGAAACCCTGTGGTTGGTTTGAGGGATTCTTCAGAGGTGACTAAGGGGTGAYAGAGGCAGTAAACAAAGCAATTACAGATTATTTGAATATTCTTAACACTCAGAGGAAGGGCTTGATTAATACAGAGTGTTTTTCATACAGAAATGGGATGAAAATTGGATATTTATTTTTTTAACTGCATGTGTTTTGTATTTTGCAGCCTGGAACAATGATTGAGTGGGGGAACTACTGGTGAGTGTTGCCTTCAACCCTTGTGTGCTCCAGGTGTAGATTTGGACAGGAGGTGGCACCAGAGCCATCGAATCCCCAAGTTCAGGGGCTGCTCTGCACTGGTACCTCTTTTGAGACAGTTCTGTGACCCTTTGAGGGAAGAAAAAGGATTTTTGCTTCCCAGAGCCCTTTTATTTTGCTGCAAAATCGTGGMTTTCCAGCAGCAAGCTGCTTGGGAAGGGTGGCAGTTCCTCTGGGAGACTCAGCTCCTCTTTCACAAGACCACTTTTGGCTTAAATAGGCTAAAATTCATCCCTTTTAAGTTTTAAAAGTCAAATTGCTTCTTGCAAAGCTGCTGAGCAGCATATTTGTATTTTAATGCATTGATTAGAAGTGTTTGAGACAGTTTTCTATTGATCATATCCATTTTTCTATTGATCATATCCATTTTTGTCTTTTTTTTTAACCAGTGTAAACTTATTTCAATATGTACTCACTGCCCTTGCCATTCTGCTGGTTGATAGTTAAACAATTAAATAATTTTCAATTATTTTGACAAAGATGAGGACGTAGATTTTCAGACACCTCATTGTCATCGATAAAATTTTTTCAATGACAGTAATTTCAACAAATTAAATGTAGAATTTTTATTAAATAGCTGTATCTATGCTGGTAGCCAGTCTGTTTTATAAGATCAAATAGGTTTATAATTAAGAGAAATAYTTCTCATATTCCTCATATTTCTCATATTTGCACCAAGATCTGCATGCATAAAAAAGTTGTATTCCAGTTCCAAAAAATCTGTGGAAAATTAACATGGCAAAGCTGATTTGACTGAAACTTGAGGATTTGGTTTTAGAACCTGCTATTAAAAGGCCACTTTATGTTGTTCCAGTAATTATCTTTATCCTGAATCTGGTTGAAAAATGATTAATTTTTCAAATTAATTAATGCAAAGTTTAGYGAAACTGTAGCCTCCAATTCTAATGCATCCCAACAAGACACAGACGTAAATCTGAGTTATTTAGTGCTGAAAATAGCTGTGAAGCAATTTTTTTTCTCACTTTTAATTACTGAACTGTACAACAAATGCTATTTATCATTCCAKCTTCCCTCCAACACTGTTTTCCTTGCAGTTTTCCCTGATTTCCTCCCCAGATGTGCTGGCTCTGATGTCTCTTTGCTCCTCTGCAGGGCTCGTGCCATTCGCTTCCGACAGGACARCAACGAAGCCGTTGGGGGATTTTTCTCCCAGATTGGACAGCTCTACATGGTCCATCACCTTTGGGGTAAACTCCTTTTCTCTGCTCTTGTTCTCCCTGTGTCCCACTTTGCCCAGGAGAAAGCATTTTTACAAAAGGCAAAGAACTCTTAAAAGTTAGGCTTTCAATTTTTTTTTTTTTCAATTTGTTGATTTTTTAAAATTTCTGTATAGGCAAATTTATCCTTCCCAAACAAACAGTGAATATTTCATGTTTTGTTCCATTTCTACCCCAGTTTCTCCTGTCCCTTCCTCTTTAGGAACTCCACGTTTGCTCTCAGTCCCCAGCCATGACCCTGCCACTCCCAGATCAGGTTTTTACAGTTTCATTTTGAGCCTCACATTTGTCACACCTGCAGAAGGGAAAGTTGAGCATTTCTTTCCGTTCCTGCACAGAGATGTTTTGCTTTCTCTATATTTTAATATTCACAAACACCCACCTGAGGATTGTTTCAACCTGGAGAATAATAATTTGTTAGAAATTATTCARGTTTTTTTTTCATCTCCCAACAATCCATAATTTTTTATTTTAGCAATCTGGTAGCACTCAGGCTGAGCTGCACCCCTGCATTATCTTACCTGTGTCCAGACATTTTCTCTCTTCCCACCTCCTTCCATTTGTGCTGCTCTGGGAGCCTTTCCTTCTCAATTTTTTTTCCTTCCTGCTGCTCTCAGCTCCCTAATTCTTCCCTGGAATACTTGAAAGGAAGAAAAAATAATCACTCCGTGCTTTTTTTTTTGCTTCCCCAGCTTACAAAGACCTGCAAACCAGGGAAGATATAAGAAATGCAGCRTGGCATAAACCTGGCTGGGATGAGCTGGTCTATTACACAGGTAACCCATTAACTCCTCTGGAATGCTGGAGGCTGTGCYATCCTCTCTGCTCCTCAGCACATCCCACTGGGAGAAAAAATTCTCTTTCTCAGGGAAAAACATGTGGCTGTGTCAGTTTTTATCCTTTAAAGCAGCAGAGGGGCGTTGAGCTGAGCTGTAAAGAGAATTTTGCAGCTGGTTGTGCTTGGGAAAGTTGCCTAAGTCCTAAAAAAATTGCTGCATTAATACTGAATTTTTATAACAGGTTTACAGAAAATGCTTGTCCAAAAATTCATGAAGCCAGTAGTGAAATTTACCTTTACATGAAATGATGGCTCTGAATATTTCATGAAATACAGGAGCCTCGTTGAATGCGTTGCTGGGTAAAGGGAATTTACGTTTTTGGAAGTGAAAGCCAGGAGATGTTTGAGATCAAAGCAAGCTGTCATCACAAAACCCCCAGAATCGTGCCAAACATGTCAGCTTTGGGTTCCATAGGGTGCATTTCAAAGGGAGTTACACCAGAAAAATATAAGAGCACTTCCATTATGATGAAAAAAATGGAAATATTTATCTTTAAACAGAGAGATRAGATTAAAGCCATTTGTTCTCAAAACTACTGAACATGCTGAGCTCTGTCAGTGAAATTAAACCCTTTTTTCTTCTTTTTTTTTTTTTTTTTTNTTTTTTTTTTTTTTTTCTCAGTGCCACTTATTCAGGAGATGGAGTCCAGAATCATGATACCCTTGAAGATTTCTCCACTTCAGTAAAATCACTGATTTTCTTGTGCCTACATAGATAAAGTGACAAGTATTTGTCTTAATTTATGGTATACGCTGTATATCATAGTCTGAAATATAAAAGTACTGTATTGAGCTTATAAAAGAGACCTCTTTTCTTCAGAACCCACCACCTTCTGCTCTTATGGGGGAAAAAAAAATAAAAATACAGGGCCATGATGAAAAGGTTGGTGAATTCAAAACAAATCCCAAACTGTGGGACGGTTCCCCAGGTAATGTTGGAATATTTCAAATCTCCTGCTGCACAGGCACTGCCCAGAGTTCAGTCACATTTAATGACTGCAGCTTTTCCAAACAAATGTGGGAGGGAAATGAGAATTTGTGGAGAAACGAGAATTTAATTTCTGCTTGTGAAATGAGCAGTTCTGGGGTTGGCTGTGAAATAACCCCTGAAAAAATCAGCAACTCTCCGTTGGCAATAAAGGATAATCCTGTTCATTTGGGATAATCCTGTGTGGCAGGGGATGGATTTGGGGCAGAAAAGGGGCATTTGCAAGGCCTCAGAGCACACATTTGGGAAATCACCTCCCCCTGGAAGGAATTCATTCCRTGCAGAGAGCCCCACGCTTCCCCCAGAGACACTGCCAAGACGTGGATGGCTGAACACCCTGCAGGGAATCAATTCCCCCAAAAACACCTCCAAAATCTGGGAAAAGGGGTTGAATTTCATAAGCAGTGCCCGCTGAGCCTGGCAGGGAAGGGGCTGGYGCATGTGGGCTCGGTGGCATCGGCGTTTCCGTGCTGTCAGTTCTCTTTTGCTTTCACTTTTAGCCTAGGACGTGTCCACACTTTTTTTTTTTTTGGTGTCTGCAACGATGTGAACATCCCTGTGAGTGACAATAATCTTCTCTCTCCAAGTGGCTCTGAGAATCAGTGTAACTGAATGTACCAATCAGTTCCAAATGTCCAGTTTGTACATTTCGAGAAGTTTTCAGGAAGAACATATCAGTCAATAAAATCCTTTTAATTTTCACTTYTTGCTGGCACCTCCTGTGTGTTGCACCCACTCGGGTTTTCTCTCCTCTTGCTGGGTTTAGTATGGAAAAATTAGAATATTTCAGCTTCATTAACCARGTCAGGGACATTTCTCATATTCTGCTTTCCTTCTCCAAAGTGAATTTACAATCTCTCCATCACATCCTATTTTGCTGAGTGGTTTAGAGTTCGTAGGTATTTAAGATAAATACAAAGCACTTTTCCTTTGGATTTTTCTGCACAAATGATGTTTCATTTTAAGGTCTGGTTTCTTTACATGAAGTACACTGCATTCGTGCCTCCCTTTGAATTTCCTCTGGACCAAAGTCAATATTTGTTCTCATTCTTATCTGGTTTCATATTTTCCTCATGTTGGCAACTGATTTTGAGTTTTTACTGGGTGAAATTCTGTGCTGATCAGCTTAAAGCTCTCAGCTTGGCTTGCTCCAAGGAAATCATTTGAGTTGATCCTTTTCAAATCAGCCCAATGGTATCACCTGGAAAAATACCATTTTTCCACACTTTTGGGGCTGCTCTTCAGCTGCAGAAGGAAAAAAGGGATTCCAACATCACCTTCCAGTCCTTTTATCCTTCTCAGCATCCTCCCATATTTCTTTTCCCTGGGAATTGAATTGTCCTTGTGACTCATACCCAGAAATCCCAGCCAGAGACAAATGGCAAAAATCATTTTGGAGCTGCAGGATTTTGTGTGTTCTGATGCAATCCGTGGTTTTTACCTTCACCAGGAATTAAATTCTGTCTGACACAGCTCTGGTTGTCCAAAGGCCACAAAGTTTTGCCTGAATAAGAAATCAGAGGGGTAATTGTGGGGTGACACCGCAGAGTTCAGGTCCCTTTCCCACTCCCCAGGGTGTGAATTCCCCCTGGAGCTGCCCTGGTGTGTTCTGGATGTGCCTCCCTTCATTCTGAGCTTCCTGCTCGTGTTCTGACTGCCATCAGGGACAGCTCAATTCCTGATATTTCACCTGCAAATAAAATAATTCTGTTATTTTCCTTGCAGATAACAATGGAAACTCAAATATGAATGGGTAATGCCAATGTTTGAGCTTGGTTTTCCTGGTTCTGTGAGGAACAAACTCAAGTTTGATTGTCCTGGAGGAGGCTGCAAATTCCAATATAAATGGGTAATGCCAATCTTTGCCTGAGCTTGGTTTTCCCTGGTTATGTGAGGAGCAAACTTAGGTTTGAGTGTCCTGGAGGAGGCTGGAAACTCTATTCAATGGGTAATGCCAGTCTTTGCCTGAGCTTGGTTTTCCCTGGTTCTCTGAATGCTGCTGGGATTTTCCCTCTTAATTCCATGGCTGAACCTGTCTTTTTCCTCGGAGGAGCAATCAGTCCCTCAGCATTTCTTACAGAACTGCTGGAATTCAGAATTGGAGTCTATTCCCAGTGAGGAAAACTGGGAGACAATGCCTGGAAGGGATTCTGGCAGCTCCCAACTCCTGTTCCTCTGAACTGGCACCATTAAAATTCAGGTTTGATTGTCCTGGAGGGGGCTGGACACTCAAATATAAATGGGTAACGCCAGTCTTTGTCTGAGTTTGGTTTTCCCTGGTTCTGTGAGGAACAAACTCAGGTTTGATTGTCCTGGAGGAGGCTGGAAACTCTATTCAATGGGTAATGCCAATCTTTGCCTGAGCTTGGTTTTCCCTGGTTATGTGAGGGGCAAACTCAGGTTTGATTGTCCTGAAGGAGGCTGCAAATTCTCCCCATGCAAATATATCATTTAAAGCAATTCTGCCTCACTGAATAATCAAAAAAAAAATTTTTTTCAGAAAACCTGAAACATTAAATGGCTTTAGATGAAGGCTGGTGGTCAGGATCCCCTGGGACCAGGCCCTCCTTGTTAGACTTTGCCCTGCTGGGCAAACCCAGAACRCCAAAACTTTCCTCACCCTGCTTTATTCCCTGCTGGTTTTTTCCACTATTTCACAGCCCAGACWGCTGAGCCTGTCTGTGAGCTCAGAAATCCTCCTGGCCTAGAGGTCAGCCTCGATATTTGCCCACTCCAAGAGGAGGGGAGATTTTTTTTTCCCTAAAGAGCTGTTGTGAAATCCCTGGCACGGCCCCACGTTTCCATAGTGCCCCGACGGGCAGAAGCTCCTGCTGTGAATTTTAACATCCCTTCCAGGGCTCCTGGGGAATCACAGAGCCCTGAGCCMTGTCCCAGGGCCTGGAGCTCCAGCCCATCTGCTCCACGTCAGATTTATTTCCTCAGTGGCTTTTTAATTCTGAAAAAAACAGCAAAAAATCCGTAATTTCCCAACTGTGGGATTGCACAGGGACACGGTGGGAGCAGAAAACTTCAGCCTTGCCCTGCTCCTGCAGCTCCAGCAGAACAAAAGCAGGATTGTCCAGGAGCTGCCCTGGGAGCTGGCTGGGACTTCCCTCAGGAAGAATTTCAAAGAGCCCATCTTGAGCATTCTCAGGAATTCTGGGCAGCACCACCAGCCATTGTCTGCAGACCCTCTGTGATTCTCACGCATCTGCCTTGCTCCAGAAAGCATCCCTGCATTTGTTTTCTGGTTCTGCATTTGTGTTTTCTCATAACCCTTSTACTTCTCTACTATTTAAATGCTGTTGTAACTTCAAGCAATTATTCCTCAGGGTTTTTTTTTTGTGAAAAAAAACTTTTCACAGCATCACTGAGAGCTGCACCGCTCACTCCGGGCTGGGCAAACTCCTCTTTCCCCCAAATCCTCCCCGGTGATGCCACAGAATGAACTGAACYAATATTTGCTTTAATTGCTGGTGATGCTTTAAGGATTGGGCAGCAGCTGGGAAACTGGGAAAATTAAATCATGGCACCTTGATTTAATCATAATAAATTAAGCAAATCTAATTGGGAAAAACTGTGATTATTAGGAGACAACGTGAAATTTTGGAAGGTGGGGACATCACTTGTGTCTGTTCCATCCAGAAATGATGAATGAAAAAGAGAATTGCCACACTTCAGTTTCTGGAAAATTACTGGGACTCTTTGTAAGCACTCAGGAGATCAAAACCTCTGCAGAGATTTTCTTTTCCAGCATAAATTTCATCCTTTTTACCCATCTTTCTGCTGTGTAAGGTGGGAATGGCAGAAGTGGAAGGTGCATTTTAACACTGGTGAAGCTTTTCCCATCCTCACAGGGGAGATTCTTACAAGTCGGGGAGATAAAATTCCCTGTGGCAGCCCCTGTTCTGCTTTTGTCCCCCAAAATAAGCAGAGGCAACATCTCAGAACCCATGCCTGCAGTGAAAGTGCAGTGTTTCAAATTTCCACTGCACCTTTTATTTTCTTTTTGTTCTTCTCTTTTGGGGTTTGGTGTTATTTATTTTCTTTTCTGTGTTGTTTTTGTTTGTTTGTTTGTTTGTTTTTTGAGGGGTTTTTTTGGGGGGTTGCATTTTTTTTGTTTTCTTTTGGGGGTTTTGAGGTACTTTTGTGTGGGGAAAGGAGCTAAAGGAGAGATGGATTTAAAATCTCTCTCCTGTGATATGACCATTTATAAATAAGTTGACTTTCTGTTCGTTTTTTTTTAAATTTAATAATCCATTGGCTTCAATGATTCTGAAACAACAGATACTGACCAGGGATCAATCCATGAAGGTATTTTTAGTTTATTATTTTTAATATATATATTTTTTTTAAATCCACACTCGAGAGGGCTTCCAAAAAGGCACAGAAAAGGTGTTTTGTCTTGGCTCACACACTGAAGAAATTCCTTAAAAAGCCAGGATCCATCAGCTGGAGCTCAAAGGAATTTTTAGAACAAGTCAGGCTTAATTCCATCACAATTTAAGGGTGGTTAATGCACATTTGAAGCAGAGGAAAGGCCTGAAGTTTCCCAGAATTTCTGTTAAATATTGATGAATCACCTCCCATCCTGATGGGGTTTGGTAAATAAATAAATCAGTTCCACCAACAGTGGGATCACTTGAGAAAATCACCACTTTGGAGTCTGATTGGAAAATATTTGAATGAGGATGGGAATCACTCCATCCCTCACCTGCAGATCTTTTTCTTGGGCAGGGATGAATGTTGAATCTGTCTCAGATTTCCACACAACTCCTGTCCCAGACAGGTTGAGTAACAGCAATGTTGAGTAACTGATGACATCTCCATATTTTAATGAAATCACAGGGATTTAGTGATGTTTTCTGTCTGTTCACTGATTAACCTCCTCCTGACATTCTGTGCAGTGAAAGGTACTTTCCAAACTGTGCACCTTTTAGACAACATGATCAATATTTTATTATTATTATTATTATTATTATTATTATTATTATTATTATTATTACTATTACTATTACTATTACTATTACTATTATTACTATTATTTAGGCCAAGTTCTTCTTTGTGGCCCAGTTCTTCTTTTGCCCCCCAGAACAAGCAGCATCATTAGCTTCGAAAATTCTGAAATTCAACAGATGTTGATGAGGGGTCAATCCATTAAGGGATTTTTAATTTATGATTTTTTATGTTTGCTCTTCACTTGGAAGTGAATAATCAATTTATTGGAAGTAAAWWATCAATTGACTTCTTTCACCATGGRRAAGWTGTATAAMAAAAATYATTTTAACATATTTGAGCAGAATAGTGCCACAGTGGAAGGTCCCCAATCCCCGGAATTCTTTAAAAACCCCAACACACAAACTTGCAAACAAATAAATGTTTAATGGCATTGAATAATGGATTTACAGGTGTTAAATAGATTATTTTACACGAGGATTTATCGTTCTTCCAGCTCCTTTAGCAATTCGTCAAAGTGGGTGATGTACCATTTTGCTTTCTCCTTTACTTGCTTTCTGACTACGTTGCCTCCAAATCCGATGAAGCAATCCTGGCAAACACAAGGAAAGGGCACATTGATTATTGAAAGGAAGGATTTTAAGATTGGATTTTTAAATCATGTCACTGCTGCCTGCTCTGTTTTCCTTTGCAAGTTCATTTTTTTGGATTTATTAACGATTAATTCTGCAGCACTCTGAGTTTTT